AATCTCAATTGATTTGTGTGAGGGTTGTGATACTGCCCGGGTGCCCAAACCGAAGCAGGTGGTTTTCTTAAGGATCCACACCCCGAGCCTTTGACCTAAAGGTCTAACCCACAAGGCAGTGGAGCATCGTAGGGAGACTCAGTCCCATGGAAGCCGATGACCAACGATTGGTTCATACGCCATTTGTTCCTTCAGGATACTGGAGCCCATGTGCACCATAGAATTGGGGTCCGGTTAAAGCGCCGGACATTCGCTTTTCGTCCTCTCATTTTTGTAAAAAACACCCCCGCCACGAGAAGGCAGTGAGTTGGCCTTATTGAAATTTTACTTTTGCTATTTGTTTTTATGGGTGACGAATGATCCACCAAATGAGGCGGAAGTCCGCAAGGAACTCCAACTCTTGAAACGTTACAAATCACAGGGCCCAGATGACTTACCTATGGCTCTTTTTAAAGATGGTGGTGACTTTCTGACTAAGGGACTGACGACGTTTACAAAGGTCTGGGAACTAGAGAGTGTACCAACGTCATGGAATAAGTCGATAGTTGTCCCTATCTTTAAAAAGGGTTCAAGTCGTTCCTGTAACAACTATCGGGGGATAAATCTACTTCCGATTGCGTCCATGCTATTGGCTTCCGTTATACTTCGTAGGTTGTTCAAAACCCGAGAAAGATTAACTCGCGAGGAGCAGGCTGGGTTTCGTTCTGGACGAGGATGTATTGATCATATCTTCACCCTCCGCCAAATGTTAGAACACCGTCTTACTTATCAAAGGCCAACAATCGTAGTGTTTCTTGACATCAGGGCTGCCTTCGATTCGTTGAATAAGACTGTTCTCTGGGATTGTCTATTGAAGAAGGGTGTGCCTGAGAAGTTTATTAACATCCTAAAAGCCCTATATACAAACACCTCAGGCAGAGTGAGGGCATACAACCACCTTTCTCCATTGTTCCATTCAAGCAGTGGGGTTAGACAGGGTTGCCCAATCTGACCATTCCTCTTCAACTTTGCCATCGATGACATGCTGGAAACAGCTCTGATGGATGTAAGTAATGGTGGTGTGGATCTGTTGCCTGGAGAAAGACTTCTCGGCCTTGAGTATGCGGATGATATTGTCTTACTGTGCGAGAATGCCCAAGTCATGCAATCCGCACTTAATCAGTTGGCAATCAGTGTCCGTAGGTATGGTATGTGCTTTGCACCTTCGAAGTGCAAAGTACTTCTACAAGACTGGCAGGATTCTAATCCTGTACTCACTCTGGATGGTGAGCAGATTGAAGTAGTCGAGAAGTTCGTGTATCTAGGTAGCTGCATAAGTGCTGGTGGTGGTGTGAGTGATGAGATCAATGCACGTATAGTGAAAGCCAGAGCGGCTTATGCCAATCTGGGCCATCTTTGGCGCCTTCGTGATGTTAGTCTGGCTGTAAAAGGTCGGATCTACAACGCGTCGGTGAGAGCAGTTTTGCTCTATGCTTGTGAAATCTGGCCTCTCCGAGTTGAGGATGTTAGACGACTCTGTGTTCGATCATCGTTGTCTCCGAAGGATTGCTGGCATCCAGTGGCAACACCATGTCAGTAATGCAGAGGTTCGGCATCGTGTATTCGGGCACAGAGACGATAATGCAATTGGTGTCACCATCTTGAAACGCCGACTTCAGTGGCTTGGACATGTTCTACGAATGTCGTCCCAGAGAATTCCACGTCGTGCATTATTTGCCGACTCTGGGACTGGTTGGAAAAAGCGGAGAGGTGGTCAGTATATGACATGGTGTCGTGGTATGAAAGAAAGCTGCAAAGGGCTAGCTTGTGTTGGTCCTTCACGACTCCCTGGCTGGGGTCCGAGAGACGATGTAACACAGTGGCTAGAGACGTTATCAGAAATGGCTCAGAATAGAAGCCAGTGGCGATCCTGCTGTAACCTTCTTTTACTTTCTTCGTAAAAAGCGGTTGCTTCTTCCTTAACTGAAAGATTTCTCTCGATTTTGCCTTTTTGTTTCCCCCATTTTTGTTCTTTTTTTAGTATAGATATTCCCTACGTTCCTTACCTTTCTTTTTCCCTTCTCTTTAAATTCTCATTGTTTTGTGTGGCGCATATATATTTGGTGCCCCCCTGTACCAATATTTATGTGTTCAGATAAAATAATAGGTGCTTTCCACAATGTGTGTACTATCCACTTTTAGCGCTTATTCCTCCTGTGGGATCTAGTTTTTTCTCTTCACAGTAGTTTGTTGCTGATAATGTCCGGTCAACGGATCCAAAGTATTTTGAGTAGACAACTGTTAATAAACACCTGTATCTTCTGGTTGATGCTAGTGGTAGTTCTCCAGGTTTCCGCCCCATACAGTAGAACTGTCTTCACATTTGTATTGAAAATTCTGACCTTCGTGTTGCTTGCCAATTCTTTTGAGTTCCAGATGTTCTTCAGTTGTAGATATGCTTCTCTTGCTTTTTCGATTCGCGCCTTCACATCTGCATCAGATCCACCGTGTTCATCAATAATGCTGCCCAAATATGTAAATGTTTTTACATCTTCCGAATCTCCGTCAATTATGATTGGATTGGTGCATGCTGTGTTGTATCGGAGAATCTTGCTTTTCCCTTTGTGTATATTGAGGCCTACTGCTGCTACATTAGTCGTCTTCTGCATTTGTTGTTGCGTTTGCGATAGAAGAGCCAGATCATCTGAGAAGTTTAGATCATCCAAGTGCATCCTAGATGTCCATTGTATCCCATGCTTCCCTTCAGGTGTTGACGTCTTCATGATCCAGTCGATCTCCGGGAGAAAGAGAAAGGTTGAGAGTAAGCAACCTTGCCTGACACCGGTCTTTACTTCGAAGGAGTTTGTCAACTGTCCTTCATGCACGATTTTACAGTTTAATCCCTCATAAGTATTCCGTATGATATTGACTATCTTGTGAGGCACGCCGTAGTGTCGAAGAAGCTTCCATAGGGTTGTTCTGTCCACGCTGTCAAATGCTTTTTCATAGTCAATAAAGTTGATGTAGAGCGATGAATTCCATTCAATTGATTGTTCCACAATGATCCGTAGAGTTGCGATTTGGTCTGTATACGATCTATCCTTACGGAATCCAACATGTTGGTCGCAAAGTTGTACGTCTACGGAGTCCTTCATCCTGTTTAAGAATACCATGTTGAAGACTTTTCCTGGTATTGAGAGAAGAGTGATTCCCCTGTAGTTATCACAGTTGCTGAGATCGCCTTTCTTTGGTACTTTGACTAGAAGTCCTACTTTCCAGTCTTTTGGTACCTGTTCCTCATCCCAAATCTTTATGAAGAGAATGTGGAGTATTCTTGCAGTTACCTCCAAATCTGCTTTCAGTGCCTCTGCTGGAATGTTGTCTGGTCCTGCTGCTTTGCCACACTTGATTTATCTGATAGCCATTCTGATCTCTTCAATTGTTGGTGGGCCAACATCGATTGGGAGGTCCGTGAGTGGTGCTTCGGTGTAAAGTGGGTTCAGTGGGGCTGGTCGATTCAAGAGTTCTTGGATGTGTTCTACCCACCTGTTTCGTTGTTCTTCAATGTTGGTGATTACCTTACCTTCCTTGCTTTTCACTGGTCGTTCTGGTTTACGGTGATCCACAGAGAGTTTCGTTGTTGTGTCATAGGATTGTCGTATGTTTCCTTCTCTTGCAGCCTTTTCCACCGTCACTGCTAAGTATTTCACATATTTACGTTTATCGGTTTTGATGCTCCTCTTCACTTGCTTGTTTACTTCTGTGTATTCAGCTTGTGCCTTGGCTTTTCTGCTCTTGTTCGGCTGGTATTGATTGCTGTCTTCTTGTTCCTCCTTTCTTAAATCTTATCCAGTGTATCGACCGTGATCCAATCCTTGTGATGGTGCTTCTTGTGGTCCAGAACCTCATGATATGTTGAAGTGATTGCCATTTTTATCCCTTTCCAGTTGCTCTCCATAGTAGTTCCTTCTCCATTAAGTAGATCATGAAGGGCCTGGAACTTATTGCTGAGGGCTATTTTGAATTTGTTGAGTTTGTCAGTATCTCGAAGAAGAGCCGTGTCAAACTTTTGTGATATTGTTCGCCCCGTTGTGCAGTGCTTCTTGAGCTTCAATTTCATCTTGGCGACGAGCAAGTGATGATCTGATGCTATATCAGCTTCTCTCTTGGTTTTCGCATCCTCCATGGTCGATTTGGTTTTGCGTAGTGTGATCCGGTGAAGTCCATGTGGTTTTGTGTATGCTGCCTCGTGACTTCCGAAGAAACTCGACTTTCATCATGAGCCGTCATAACTCTTCTAAATGAAGACCTGAATCCCAGGGCAGACTTTAGATGGTTTGAATATTTTTTTCTGGTTAGCGTTTTTTTGGCGAGTTAGTTTTCTACGGAATGGGGTCGCTAACCCCATGCTCAGCCCTCCTCCTTTATCCGGGCTTGGGACCGGCAGTAGCCCCCGGAGAGACTCCAGGCGGAGTTATCGGACAGGGCTGCTGTCTGTATATACCAGGTCGATAAGTGAACCTCCTGGTGAGAGATCATCGTACAATCTATAATGGTCGCAGTTAATTTTCATCTGAATACATAAACATAAATTATGTTTACAATAATTTAGTTCTAAACGTTAAGGTATTTTTAATGGTAAAGTAATCCGTGTGAATTTACGCTTATTTGTGGTAAGTACAATGTTCCTTCATTCCGGTGTAGATCAAGATTAGTTTTCTCCAACATCTGATCATATTGTTTCTTTAAATTAATGGTTATGCTGTGCTCGTACAACCGCACAACCTATGGAAAAATTCGTGTCCAAGCAAGCATCATAATGGTCCGTTTCATGCAATCATCAGGTTTACTGTAGATAACAAAATGTCCCAGAAATTTGTGTCAGTATATCATAGCCCTTTCCTCGAATGTTAACTAATCCACCTCTTAGCACTAAATTTTAAAACGGAATTTAAAGTATGTTTACTAACTAGTATAATTTTCATTGTTAACTTATTTTAATGTTTTGATTCATTCTAGATATGGGATCTTCCGAAGCTAGCACACGTCGTCGAGTAAAGTTGTACATGTTAAATGATGAACGGCAATGGGATGATAAGGGCACTGGTCACGTGTCAGCATTGTATACTGAGCAGGAGAACATGGCTCTAGTAGTGATTTCAGAGACAGATGGGTCTTATCTTCTTGAGTCAAAAATACAGCCAGATACAGCGTATCAAAAGCAGCAAGAAACACTAATTGTTTGGTCAGAAGGTGAAAATATGGATTTAGCTCTATCTTTCCAAGAAAAAGTTGGTTGTGATGATGTATGGGAAAAAATTTGTGCTGTACAGGGTAAGGATCCATCGGTAGAGATTACTCAAGAGGTTGTTGACGAGTCAGATGACGTTGATGACACGGATGGGTATACACCTACAATGATGCAAAGTATTCAACCTCTTAGTCTTCCACCTTGTGAACTGAGCCGTCTTGAAGAAGTTGTTGACCTTGTTAGTCAAGCTGTCGCATCACCTCCGAAACGCGAGCGATTGGTGGCCTTTTTAGAGTCGACTAATTATCTCCATCAGTTAGTCGATGTCTTTCACAAAGCAGAAGATCTGGAAGATATGGAATCGTTGCATCATCTTTACGAAATAATGCGACAACTTATATTGGTAAACAAACATAGCCTTTATGAAAATTTATTCGCTGATGATATGCTGTTGGATGTGATTGGTATTTTAGAATACAATCCTTCTGGGCGCACTAAACATCGTGATTTTCTCAGAAATAAGGCTACTTTCAAAGAAGTTTTGCCTTTGCATAATACAGATTTAGTAACAAAAATACATCAAACATATCGTGTTCAGTACATACAAGACTGCTGTCTCCCACCTCCTTGTTTATTCGACGAACACACTCTTTCCCAACTTAAAGCATTTGTTTCTATAAACAAGATGGAGATTATTCGGGCTCTTCAGGAAGATGAAGAGTTTATGTGTCGACTTTTTACACGTTTGAAAGCGGCGGATACAGATCTGACTCATCGCAGAGACCTATCGCTCTTTGTAAAGGAATTTTGTAATATTTCCATCCAGACAGATCAAAAAGAAAGTTTTCTCAGTTGTTTACTTCAACACGGAGCACTAAGAACAGCTGAAGTATTGCTCGCAATTGATGATCGAGATATAAAGTCAGCTGCTCTCGAAATTCTCCAGGCATTTATTGAGCACCAGCCTTCTGTTGTACGTGAATATGTCTTCCGAGAAACTGCTCCGTTCCGAAAAGACGATGAATTACTCATTAATCTTATGATAAGTCAATTACTCACTGATCCAGATCCAGGTAGGTTTGTCTATAGATTAATATTCAAGACACTATTTATAGAACTAAGTGATGCTTTCCTTTTGGGTTACATGTTGCGCATTCTTATCGATCCAGACAATATGAACAATTCCGGTGTTGTAAGTCATTTTTTAACATATATATTTATGCATGTATTTATGTTATCAAATTACTGTCTAGATTAAAATTCCCTGTAGTCTAACCTATAAGATCTCATCTACTTTGGTTATCATTATTTTTCTTAAGTTCCATCAACCTAATTGTCCTATTTGGGATGCTCTTATTCTGTTTACCATTGGTCCTTAACCGTTAAATTATTCGCTCATCTTAGTCGTTCATTTAGTGGTTACATCAGTAATTAAGTCATATAGTCGTATCTCATTTGGGTACATTGATTCAACAACACGAATCAGTATGTAAAACCTCGATCAAGCAAGGTACACCACTGGTCGAATTTAAGCTAGAAGTTATTTATTTATTTATTTTAACATAATTATTGGTACAAGTAGGCACCAAATACATATGCGCCACACAGATCTCATTTGATATGTGTGAGGGCTGTTATTTATTTATTTATTTATTTTATTGGAACACATAAATATTGGTACAGGGGGGCACCAAATATATATGCGCCACACAAAACAATGATAATTTGAAGAGAAGGAGAAAAGAGAAAAAAAGAAGAAAAAAAAAGTAATGGACGTGGGGAATTATAAAAAAAAAGGAAGAGAGAGAGAACAATGGTGGGGGAAACGGAAAGGTACAATCAGAAGAGATCTTTCAGTTAAGGAAGATACAACCACTTTTTATGAAGAAAGTAAAAGAAGGGCTGTGATACTACCCAAAGGCCCAGACCGAGACAGGTGGTTTTCGTAGGGCGCTACACTCGGAGCCTTCGATCAGGTCTGATCCACAAGGCAGTGGAGCATCGTAAGGAGATGCAGTCCCATGGTAGCCGGTGACCAACCACTGGTTCATGCGCCATTTTTTCCCTCAGGATACTGGAGCCCATGTGCACCATTGGTTCGGGATCCGGTTAAAGCGCCGGAAATTCGCTTTTCGTCCTCTCATTTTCGTAAAAAACACCCGTGGTGCGAGAAGGCAGTGAGTAGGACTTCCCTGACAGAGGCTATATACGCGTGGCCATGTGAGAGTGTTTCGAGAGGGAGAGCGAACTCTCTCCACTCTCGGCCGTACCAGGGCGTTTGGGGGAAGCTAGAAGTTAAATAGAAAAAGCATACTTTACTAAAAGCTGACTGCATTAGTATGAATGGTATTTTTGCCTGTTATTTTGCTTTTAACAAAGTTGTGTTTCTGACTACTAGTCAATACCTTATTGTTCTGTTACATGCTGATACACAACTGAGAAAGTTTCATGTTGCTGACAGACTCATGACTAGCAGATTGTAAGTTTTCTTACATTACGTAGATTATGTCTTGCAGGAAGTATCTTTACAGGATAGCTTGATTTATAATAAGTTATATAAGATAAGCATTGTGTGAAAAACACAGTTAAATTTCTGTATTGTTTTCTTTTCGCTTCGTTTTCATCTGACTTATTAAAGTGCTGTTCCTCGCAGACACACGGTACCCTAGTTTATCGTCCATATTAACTTGAGGTGAATTAGAATTTCTCGTCCATGTCAGGGCATTTGCGAGCCAATAACATCTAAGCATAAGAACTATAATTCAAAACTTACTTACTTACTTACGCCTGTTACTCCCAATGGAGCATAGGCCGCCGACCAGCATTCTCCAACCCACTCTGTCCTGGGCCTTCTTTTCTAGTTCCATCCAATTCTTGTTCATTTTTCTCATATCTATCTCCATTTCTCGGCGTAATGTATTCTTTGGTCTTCCTCTCTTCCTTCGACCTTGAGGATTCCATATGAGGGCTTGTCTTGTGACGCAGTTCGGTGCTTTCCTCAATGTGTGTCATATCCACTTCCAGCGCTTCTTCCTGATTTCTTCCTCCACTGGGATCTGATTTGTTCTCTCCCACAGTAGGTTGTTGCTTATAGTGTCCGGCCGGCGGATCCGAAGTATTTTGCGTAGACAACTGTTAATAAACACCTGTATCTTTTGGACGATGGATTTCGTAGTTTTCCAGGTTTCCGCGCCATACAGTAGAACTGTCTTGACATTTGTATTGAAAATTCTGACTTTGGTGTTGGTTGCTAATTGTTTTGAGTTCCAGATATTCTTCGGTTGTAGATATGCTGCTCTTGCTTTGCCAATCCGTGCCTTCACATCTGCATCAGATCCACCGTGTTCATCGATGATACTGCCCAAATATGTAAATGTTTTTACATCTTCCAAAGCTTCTCCGTCAATTGTGATTGGATTGGTACATGTTGTGTTGTATCGAAGAATCTTGCTTTTCCCTTTGTGTATATTGAGACCTATTGCTGCTGAGGCTGCAGCTACACTGGTTGTCTTCTCCTGCATTTGTTGTTGTGTGTGCGATAGAAGAGCCAGATCATCTGCGAAGTCTAGATCATCCAACTGCATCCTAGCTATCCACTGTATCCCGTGCTTCCCTTCAGATGTTGACATCTTCATGATCCAGTCGATCACCAGGAGAAAGAGAAAGGTTGAGAGTAAGCAACCTTGCCTGACACCGGTCTTTACTTTGAAGGAGTTTGTCAACTGTCCTCCATGAACGATCTTGCAGTTTAATCCATCATAGGAATTCTGTATGATATTGACTATCTTGTGAGGCACGCCGTAGTGTCGAAGAAGCTTCCATAGGGTTGTTCTGTCCACGCTATCAAATGCTTTTTCGTAGTCGATGAAGTTGATATAGAGCGATGAATTCCATTCAATTGATTGTTCCACAATGATCCGTAGAGTTGCGATTTGGTCTGTATACGATCTATCCTTACGGAATCCTGCCTGTTGGTCTCGAAGTTGGGCGTCTACGGAGTCCTTCATCCTGTTTAACAATACCCTGTTGAAGACTTTTCCTGGTATTGAGAGAAGAGTGATTCCCCTGTAGTAGTCACAGTTGCTGAGATCGCCTTTCTTTGGTATTTTGACTAGAAGTCCTTCTTTCCAGTCTTTTGGTACCTGTTCCTCATCCCAGATCTTTCTGAAGAGAGTTTGGAGTATCCTTGCAGTTGCCGCTACGTCTGCTTTCAGTGCCTCTGCTGGAATGTTGTCTGGTCCTGCTGCTTTGCCACTCTTGATTTGTCTGATAGCCATGCTGATTTCTTCAATTGTCGGTGCGCCAACATCAATTGGGAGGTCCGCGAGTGCTGCTTCGATGTTGGGTGGGTTCAGTGGGGCTGGTCGATTCAAGAGTTCTTTGAATTGTTCTACCCACCTGTTTCGTTGTTCTTCAATGTTGGTGATTATCTTGCCTTCCTTGCTTTTCACTGGTCGTTCTGGTTTACGGTGATTTCCAGAGAGTTTCTTTGTTGTTTCATACAGTTGTCTCATGTTTCCTTCTCTGGCAGCCTTTTCCGCCGTCATTGCCAAATCTTCCACATATTTACGTTTGTCGGTTCTGATGCTCCTCTTCACTTGCTTGTTTACTTCTGTGTATTCAGCCTGTGCCTTGGCCTTTTCTGCTCTTGTTCGACTGGTATTGATTGCTGCCTTCTTGTTCCTCCTTTCTTGAATCTTATCTAGTGTATCGACCGTGATCCAATCCTTGTGATGGTGCTTCTTTTGGCCCAGAACCTCATGATATGTTGAAGTGATTGCCTCTTTTATCTCTTTCCAGTTGCTCTCCATAGTAGTTCCTTCTCCATTGAGTAGATCATGAAAGGCTTGGAACTTATTGCTGAGGGTTATCTTGAATTTATTGAGTTTGTCATTATCCCGAAGAAGAGCCGTATTAAATTTTTGTGATATTGTTCGCCCCGTTGTGCAGTGCCTCTTGAGTTTCAATTTCATCTTGGCGACCAGCAAGTGATGATCTGATGCTATATCAGCTCCTCTCTTTGTTCTCACGTCCTCCATCGTCCTCCTGAACTTTTTGTTGATGCAGATATGGTCGATTTGGTTCTGTGTGGTGTGATCCGGTGAAGTCCATGTGGTTTTGTGTATGCGTTTATGTGGGAATATAGTCCCGCCTATGACCAGTTTATTGAAGGCACATAGATTTGCCAATCTCTCACCATTTTCGTTCCTTTCTCCCAGTCCGTGTCGTCCCATGATCTCTTCATATCCGGTGTTGTCAATTCCAACCTTGGCATTTAGGTCTCCCATCAGAATAGTCAGGTCTTTTGTTGGGCACTTCTCGACGATTGACTGCAGCCTATCGTAGAATTGATCTTTAGCGTCTTCATTGTAGTCATTGGTAGGCGCGTAGCATTGGATGACGTTCATTGTAATCCCCGTTTTCTTTGTTTTGAAGGAGGCTTTGATGATCCTTGGTCCATGAGATTCCCATCCTATAAGTGCATTTTGTGCTTGTTTGGACAGCATCAATGCAACTCCTTGTGTATGTGGGGCATTTTCTTGTTCATGTCCGGAGTATAACAGCAGCTCCCCTGAAGCTAGTCGTTGTTGTCCAACTTGCGTCCAATGTGTTTCACTGATCCCAAGCACCTCTAAATTGTATCTCCTCATTTCTGCAGCAATTTGGAAAACTCTCTCGGTCTCCCACATTGTACGAGCATTCCATGTGCCTAAATAAATGGTTGCTCTGGTTGTCAGAAGGGGCATCGGCCTCGTGACTTCCGAAGAAACTCGGCTTTCATCATGAGGCGTAATGATTCTTCTAAACGAAGACCTCCTGACTCCCAGGGCAGAGTTTAAATGGTTTGAATAATTTTTTCTGGTTAGCGTTTTTTTAGCGAGTTAGTTTTCTACGGGATGGGGTCGCTAACCCCATGCCCAACCCTCCTCCTTTATCCGGGCTTGGGACCGGCAGTAGCCCCCGGAAAGGGACTCCAGGCGGAGTTTATAATTCAAAAGGTAGAAATTTAATCGGGAAATACAGTATTATTATTATTATTATTTGAACACATAAATATTGGTACAGGGGGGCACCAAATATATATGCGCCACACAAAACAATGAGAATTTAAAGAGAAGGGAAAAAGAAAGGTAAGGAACGTAGGGAATATCTATACTAAAAAAAGAACAAAAATGGGGGAAACAAAAAGGCAAAATCGAGAGAAATCTTTCAGTTAAGGAAGAAGCAACCGCTTTTTACGAAGAAAGTAAAAGAAGGTTACAGCAGGATCGCCACTGGCTTCTATTCTGAGCCATTTCTGATAACGTCTCTAGCCACTGTGTTACATCGTCTCTCGGACCCCAGCCAGGGAGTCGTGAAGGACCAACACAAGCTAGCCCTTTGCAGCTTTCTTTCATACCACGACACCATGTCATATACTGACCACCTCTCCGCTTTTTCCAACCAGTCCCAGAGTCGGCAAATAATGCACGACGTGGAATTCTCTGGGACGACATTCGTAGAACATGTCCAAGCCACTGAAGTCGGCGTTTCAAGATGGTGACACCAATTGCATTATCGTCTCTGTGCCCGAATACACGATGCCGAACCTCTGCATTACTGACATGGTGTTGCCACTGGATGCCAGCAATCCTTCGGAGACAACGATGATCGAACACAGAGTCGTCTAACATCCTCAACTCGGAGAGGCCAGATTTCACAAGCATAGAGCAAAACTGCTCTCACCGACGCGTTGTAGATCCGACCTTTTACAGCCAGACTAACATCACGAAGGCGCCAAAGATGGCCCAGATTGGCATAAGCCGCTCTGGCTTTCACTATACGTGCATTGATCTCATCACTCACACCACCACCAGCACTTATGCAGCTACCTAGATACACGAACTTCTCGACTACTTCAATCTGCTCACCATCCAGAGTGAGTACAGGATTAGAATCCTGCCAGTCTTGTAGAAGTACTTTGCACTTCGAAGGTGCAAAGCACATACCATACCTACGGACACTGATTGCCAACTGATTAAGTGCGGATTGCATGACTTGGGCATTCTCGCACAGTAAGACAATATCATCCGCATACTCAAGGCCGAGAAGTCTTTCTCCAGGCAACAGATCCACACCACCATTACTTACATCCATCAGAGCTGTTTCCAGCATGTCATCGATGGCAAAGTTGAAGAGGAATGGTCAGATTGGGCAACCCTGTCTAACCCCACTGCTTGAATGGAACAATGGAGAAAGGTGGTTGTATGCCCTCACTCTGCCTGAGGTGTTTGTATATAGGGCTTTTAGGATGTTAATAAACTTCTCAGGCACACCCTTCTTCAATAGACAATCCCAGAGAACAGTCTTATTCAACGAATCGAAGGCAGCCCTGATGTCAAGAAACACTACGATTGTTGGCCTTTGATAAGTAAGACGGTGTTCTAACATTTGGCGGAGGGTGAAGATATGATCAATACATCCTCGTCCAGAACGAAACCCAGCCTGCTCCTCGCGAGTTAATCTTTCTCGGGTTTTGAACAACCTACGAAGTATAACGGAAGCCAATAGCATGGACGCAATCGGAAGTAGATTTATCCCCCGATAGTTGTTACAGGAACGACTTGAACCCTTTTTAAAGATAGGGACAACTATCGACTCATTCCATGACGTTGGTACACTCTCTAGTTCCCAGACCTTTGTAAACGTCGTCAGTCCCTTAGTCAGAAAGTCACCACCATCTTTAAAAAGAGCCATAGGTAAGTCATCTGGGCCCTGTGATTTGTAACGTTTCAAGAGCTGGAGTTCCTTGCGGACTTCCGCCTCATTTGGTGGATCATTCGTCACCGGCCATGGAGGGCAGGACAGTCTGACCGATGTTGCCGGAGCAGCAGGCCAGTTGATCTGCCCTTCGAAGAATTCTGCTTATCGTCCAAGACGTCGATGGATGTTAGTGATTGGCGTTCCGTCATCCTCGCAGATTGTTTCGCTCACATCAGACTTTTTGCTGCCAGTGGCTCGGATGAGTTGGAAAAGCTTACGGTAATTACCAGATACAGCTGCTGCTTCCAGCTCATTGGCACGCTCCGACCACCAGGTTTCTCGGTCCTCACACAAGCTTTGCCCAATTTCAGTACGTAACATCCTTCGTCTGTGGTCAAACTCACGGTCACCCGGAGTAGACCGACGGGGTTCAATCAGTTGTAAGGAACCAGAAGAAACCCATTGCTTATAAGCGGGACGTTTCGCGAACCCACAACTGACTTTACCCACCGTTTTCATGGCGTCATGCAATTGCAACCAATGCTCATCTATACTTTTCGGTGGAATGCTAGCTAGCCTAGAAGCTAGCTCGGTTCGGTACTTACTAGCAACAGAAGTTGCAACCAGCTTGCTAACATCAATCCTTTGGTGGCGATCACTTCGTCGGCCACTGCAAATTAAGGTGAGATTGGCGCAGACCAGAGCATGATCAGATTCCAGATAGGTACTCCAAAAGGAGCGGCAGTCTTGTACACAACCACACCAGCGGTAGATGATCGCGATGTGATCAATCTGAGTCCAGGCTTGAGATGCAGATTGAGGACGACAGGTGGCATATCGGCGATGGCTGTGCCGAAAGTTAGTGCTAGCCAAAAACAGGTTGTGGTCTGTGCATAGTTGCAGTAGACGTTCCCCGTTATCTGTCCTGCTACCAACAAGTCCCCATCGGCCACCTAAACGACTCTCTTCTGTGTCTAGACGCCCGACCTGAACATTCAAGTCTCCGGCTAGTACTACAATATCTGTCGAACGCACTTTCTGGAGAAGAACAGATAACTGGTGGTAAAATTCATCCTTGATTGCATCCGGGCTGCAATCTGTCGGGTTTCAGAAAAACTGCTTCAGTACTTATATTCGATGGTAACATACAATTTTCAACCAGGCAGTGACACGAGAACGTTTATATAGAGCCGAATGTCCACCATAGGCGAGCTGCTGTACAAGTCGAAAAATAAGGATAGACAGAGTGGGGATGAAAGAGAGTGAGTAAATGACGTGGTAAATAATAATAATAATAATAATAATAATAATAATAATAATAATAATAATGTGAATTGTTTGACAGTAAATCGCAGCGAGAATAGTTCTCAGTGAATATCATAATTTTCATTATCATTATATTTGTGCGTAGGCTGAGATACTGCCCGGGTGCCCAGAACGAAGTAGGTGGTTTTCTTAGGGGGCCACACCCCGAGCCTTTGACCTAAAGGTCTAACCCACAAGGCAGTGGAGCATCGTGAGGAGATGCAGTCCCATGGAAGCCGGTGACCAAGAAATTGGTTGATGCGCCATTTGTTCCTTCAGGATACTGGAGCCCATGTGCACCATTGATTTGTGATCCGGTTATTGCGCCGGACGTTCGCTTTTCGTCCTTTCATTTTCGTAAAAAACACCCGTGGTGCGAGAAGGCAGTGAGTAGGACTTCCCTGACAGAGGCTATATACGCGTGGCTATGTGAGAGTATTTCGAGAGGGAGGGCGAACCCACCCCACTCTCGGCCATACCAGGGCATTTGGGGGCGGGGAAATACAGTGTATAAAGCAGCACTAAAATTCACGGTCTACAGGACGGTAAATGTATACATGATTGCTTTCAGTTATTATTATCCATAAAGTAGGACGGAGAGAACTACTGCACAGTAAACTTGCCCATTAGTTGGAAGACAGATATCTCGCCTGCGTCACAAGTGATGCAAGTTAACAAAAGCCAGTTGAGCCTTCCGAATCCGTGCGGGGATTTCGACAGGCGCCAGAGCATCAGGACTGATGAAACTCAAGATAAGTGAAGTAGTTGATGCGTCCAACTACTTCACTCTTTATTATTAATTCAGGCGATGACACAAGCCAATCCTGAAGTAACGTTTCGCGTTTGGAGGGAAAGTACCACTTCCCAAACGTACTTGGATTGTTGCTTGAGGTGGCCAGAAGACTGCTTTTTATCAGCGTACTCACTAATCAGAACTATATCTGCATATTCTAATTCAGTAAATGAATCTGGTAGGTCAGTCCCTGAAATTTTGGATGATGGTGTTATCTCTAAAAGCATGTTTATGACTAAGTTAAATAAAAATAGGGAAAGCAGACAACCTTGATGAACATCACTTGATGTAACCGATCTCGATGACAGTTCGCTATAGGCTTTGATTCGACCATTAGTGTTCGAAAAGAGCCTGTACGAGGTTAATGTACTTCTTTGTTGCACCTTTCAATAAAAGACTGCCAAAGAACCTCACGACCAACGGTCGGGCGCTGCTATGTTTGAAGAGATAACAAGATCACCTAAAATCGGCGAACAGAACGAAGGATCAGCAACGCAACGACAAGACAAGCCAAGTTATTCCAATGCATCCTGGCCCTGATGACCAAAGGGATAAGTGTATTTCACAAGTAACCTGAAGCGCGAACAAATCAAGCACACAACTCAAGGGTATATATACAGTATAATAAGGTCTTTGAGAAACGTCGCAAAAGAGCGTGTTAAAAGAGCAAACGAACCAATGACTTTTAAGATCCTTCCAAATTTGAAATACAATTGGACGGTAAAAATAGTCTTCTTTGGCTCAAAAACAAGAAGTTCAAATCTCCAAAATAAAATTACAAAAATAAAACGTTTACTAAGCAGTTTCTGGGGATCCAGCATCCGCAACTGGCGCAGCCGTAAGGTCAAAGGACACAACTACAGTCGGACATCGAAAATTGTCTGTGTCCCATAATCTACCGAAGAGTGAATATTTGGTTTGAAACCAACCTGGTTTTTTAAGCTCCAGTTAGATTGTCATAAGAGGACTTAAGTCCTTTCTTAGAGATTGGGACGGTCAGCGATTGAAAACTAGTCTGATGGGGTTATGTTCAGTTCCCAGATTTTTTGATTAGATCTCATTTAATCTAACTTTCAACACTTTTTTGACAAACTGCAAATATTCTAATATCCATTTCTCTTATATCTTAATCCTGAGAGTTCATGCACTTGTTGGAAATTAGGACAGCTTCGTTCAATTAAAGTATTGAATTGTCTACTCTCAGTTGTGTATAAAATTATCATTATTTTTAGATTTCTTTGTAAAATAGTGGCGTTTCTGTGTTAATTTTGTTGCTTTTTCTATTACAGCGTAGCGAAAAAACAGATTTTCTCAGTTTTTTCTATAAACGATGCATCAATACACTTGTTCGTCCATTATTTGATAACACGTCAAAAGATACACTAGAGAAAGGTAATGGGAAATTTCTCCGTTTATCATACTTTTTTTTCCATTGTAGATGATTATCACACCGCATTAGTTTTGAACCATATAATTGAATTACTCACATTCTGTATTGAAACGCATACATACCACATGAAGAATTACTGTTTTAATCGTGATCTTCTGAAACGAGTTCTCGTTTTATTGCTATCATCTCATAAATTCCTTGTACTAGGTAGGTTAACTCATACTCAGCATTAACCTGCTATTTTTAGCTGCTTTGCGCCTTCTAAGACGTGTTGTCCATATGAAAGAAGAATTTTACAATCGTTATTTGATCAAAAACAATCTTTTTAAACCAGTTTTGAAGCTTTTCGTTTCCAACGGATATCGTTACAACCTGTTGGACTCAGCTATTATCGAACTTTTTGACTATATTCGCTCTGAAGAAATAACTTCATTAATTACCCATATAATAGAAAATTATTGGGATATTTTGAAAAATATAAATTACGTACAAACGTTTACCGATCTAAAACGAACATACGATCACAGTCATCGTTCAGTTAGGACTGTTGTTGGAACTGTGAACCAGCAAGCGACATTAGATGTGTAAGTTTTATTTGTTTGAAATTGGTAGCAATTTGTCCGCGTTATCTCTTTTTGTTATCAGTGGGATTATAAAATGAGGACACTTGTTGTACAATTTCTTAAAGAAATATCTTATAACTATCAATACATATACTTTTGGGTTGAAATCATTCATTTAAAGAGGAGTATCTACTTATTTTCAAAATTCAAATAAGTCTTGATTGCCGTTAAGTTAATTGGTGTCGTTAACCTTCATTAATGGATAAAAAGGTAATTAATCTGGATTGCTTTGTGAAAATATATTTCTAGTGTTTCTTTCGTAAAATGAACTCGAATGGCTTCTAGTTCTTTCGGGTGTTATTTACAACGAAATTACCTCTATTTTCAATTTAAATCTAACTTATTTACTAATGTGCGTATCAACAAAGTATAGGATATTATTTATGATTGTTTAGAATCTGGTTCAGATTTGAATTTACGATGCCCGTTAGATCCTTCTGGAGTTATTAAATGTTTTGGAATTGTATTTACGACCCACGTTATTCTCATTCCGAAGAAAGAAAGTATGGCAATGGGTTCACCGGTTTCTTGATTGTAGCGAATTTACGCATGCATTCCCTAGAAAGCAGTGCGACCACAAGATGTGTAAATCCCCCAAAAGTCTAGTTACGGTATGCAGATGACATTTTCATTAAACGGAATGATTTAGAAGAATTGTTTGAAAATGTAAACATTTCGGAGAGCATCAAGCTAAAAAAGGAAGTAGAGTCCAATGACCACAAATTAGCGTTTCTCCATTGTTTGATTGAGCGAAGTTGCAATAATAAGTTGAAAATAAATGTATTAAGGAAATCAACATATTCTTAGAGATACTTAGATTACGGTTCGGCTCATGCGTATTGTACAACGGTCACAATTGTACAAAATTTAATTAAAGGATTATTGATCTCATTACTGAGGAAGGCCAACAGGTTGAATTGAATTTTGTCTACACTTAAGGCTAACAATTTGCCCGAATAGTGTTCAAAGATTATAAAAAATGAAAAAAAAAACTAAATTAGAGAGTATACCGAAAGATTGGAAGTACACTCTGGTCATCCCATACCGTAATGAAACGTCGGAAGAAATTAAGAGGATTCTAAACAAACATGATATAAGGGTGTATTTTGTGGCTAGTGAACGTCAGGTCCTAGAACATAGACACACATTCAGACGCCCCACAATCGCAGTATTTCTCGACCTTAAGGCGGTATTTGACTCTATTGATCGTGAGGTTCTATGGCAGTGTATTTTCTGGCTAGTGACACCATAGGATCAGCATTAGTGAGAGTTAAGGATAGATTTCCTAAGAGAGAACAGAATGTTGTCTATGAGATCAGCTGTGATGATTGTAATGCAGCGTATGTGGGGAATTGAATGTGAGGTTGAAGGAACACAAGCAATGTTTGAGAAATTTTCCCAAATCCTCGGTTGATCTGAAGAAACTTGAAGTTAGATCGGCGATAGCGTCACAGACTGGCTTCAGACCTTGTTGTATCTGCATTGATCACATACTCATCATTCGTCAGGTTCTAAAACACAGGCATGCTTATCGGCGTCCGACAATGGTGATTTTTCTTGACTTAAAAGCAGAATTTGACTCTGGACCGAGAGGTTCTGTAGCAGTGTCTATCGTTGAAAGGCGATTCTTAGAAGTACATAAACCTTGTGAAGGTTGTTTACTTGAACACTACCAACGAACTGTCATCTGATTTCGTAACCCCGAGTGGTGTCCGTCACGTCTGTCCACTATATCTATTTCTGTTTAATTTCATCATAGACCCACTGCTGGAAATAACGTTCTCGTCGACTGAATTTTCAGGTATCGATCTCTTTCCAGGAGGTCCACTTATCGACTTAGAATACGCAGATGACATAGTCCTGTTCGGTGAAGACGCTGATAAAATGCGGAGTCGTTTGATAGCACTGAGCAACAATGCCAAAATGTTTGGGATGCGCTTCTCCCCCCTCTAAATGCAAGGTGTTGCTTCAGGACTGGTCTGCGTCAACACCTGAACTAAGAATAGGGAGTGAAGTAGTCGAACTCGTTGACAACTTCACTTATCTCGGAAGTCTGATCAAGCCTAATGGGTTGTTGTCTAACGAAATCTCAGCACGGATTCGAAAAGCTCGCTTGGCCTTTGCCAACTTACGTCACTTATGGCGAAGACGAAACATCCGTCTATCAATTAAGGGACGAGTATACTGCGCGACAGTTCGTTCCGTTCTACTATACGGCTGCGAAACATGGCCTCTAAGAGTAGAAGATACTCGTAAGCTAATAGTACTCGATCACAGATGTCTCAGAAATATTGCTCGCATCTGCTGGGATCACCGGGGTAAGTATTAGTAAGGTTAGATGCAGTGTATTAGGGAATGATGGTGAATCAGTTGGTCAGGTTGTGAATCTTCATCGACTGAGATGGTTGGGCTACGTGTTACGTATGACTGGACACCGTTTACCAAACCAAAACGTGGCATCAGTGCTTGAAGTCACTAACTTCTGGTCTGAGCCATATTGGCAGATGCAGACTACTTGGTTGGTGTCCGCGTGACTATCGTAAGCAATGGTTGGAGACTCTTGGTGACATGGCTCAGGATCTATCACAATGGCGTCGGTGTATATACTCTTTGCTTTATACCTTTTTTTCTACGAACTGATTTTTTCTTCCTGTATTATATCTTTATATGTAATCATTCTTAAGTATATTACTACCATTGAAGTGACTACTACGAATTTGGTGTTCATTTTGTTGTGGCAACTTGGACCGATGCATATATGTGCCTGGTTCTACGTTGTAGCTAACTGACTGTGTACAATCTTTGGAAAGAGAACACATGATCAGTTTTGAAGGGACGAATATACTTCAGAACGTTTTCGTCACACATAACGAAGGATTATCAGCAGAAGCGCTAACTAGTATAAATCAATTAGACCATTTAAATGATACACTGAGAATTCATGGAAGACTTTTGACGCGTTATGATGAGAGTCGAGATACTTCGTCACTCATGAGGCTGATATCCGTTTTACCATGTAGAGCAACAGTTAATATAGGTACATAGAACTTCCGGACAATGTGGGAGTTTATTTATTTATTTGAACACATAAATTTTGGTATTAAGGCGCACCGAATACATATGCGCTACACAGGTCACTTGATTTGTGTGTGGGCTGTGATACTGTGCAACGGCCCAGACCGAAGCCGGTGGTTTTCTTAGGGGCCACTTCTGGAGCCTTCTACTTAAAGGTCTAATCCATAAAACAGTGGGGCAACTTCAGGAGATGCAGTCCCATGGTAGCCGGTGACCAGTAATTGGTTCATACGCCAATTGTTCCTCCAGGATCATGGAGCCCATGTGCACCATTGGTTTGGAATCACGGCTTTACAACTCCCCTATGTGACCCCCTGTGTCCGTCAACTCGGTTACATCGCCAGACACTCGCTTTTCGTCCTCTCAATTTAGTAAACAACGCCCATGCCGCGAGAAGGCAGTGAGTAGGACTTATCTGGCAGTGGCTTTATACGCGTGGCCATGTGAGAGTATTTCAAGAGGGAGAGTTAACCCTCCTCACCCTCAGCCGTACCAGGGCATTTTGGGGAGCCGGGAGGACCAATAAAATGTCTGCGGAAATCAGGAGATACAACTTGACGGTGATCGGATCCAGTGAAACTCAATGAATCCAAAGTGGACAGAAAATGTTAGATTTGGGAGTGATGCTGCTGCACTCTTGTCACAAAGAAGAAAACGCTGCGCACACTCAGTGAGTTGCCTTGATGCTGTCTAAAGAAGCACGTAAAGCGTTTAATTAGGGGAAATCTCGTGGACCCAGGATCATCAAAGCATCTTTCAAAACAAAGAAGGATGAAATCACAGTGAATATTATCCAGTGTTATGCATCCACCAATGACAGCAACGACGACAATGATGATCAGTTCTGTGAGAGGCTGCAATCAATGAAAGTAAAGTGCTCAGGAAAAGACCTGACCATTCTGATGAGAGATCTCAACAGTTTGGTGATAATTGAAAGAGCAAAAGTCATAACGGCTACCACATGGTAAATGTTCAGTAACAAGTAGCTAGACCTCATCTCTATCCAACCTGTTTATTTCACACACATCGTTATTCTTACTTACATACGACTGTTACCCCTCGTGGAGGTGCATAGGTCACCCACCACCCTTCCCTACCGGTCTCCGTCCTGGGCAATCCTTTCCAATTGTTATTCATCCTTACCATGTTTGCTTTTAATTGTCGGCGCAATTTGTTCTTTGGTCCTCCTCTTTTTTGTTTCCCTTCACGATTCCAAGTTAGCACTTGCTTCGTGATGCAGTTTAGTGATTTTCACAATGGTTTTCCTATTCCCTTCCAACATCTAATTTCTTCATCTGAAAGCTAGTTTTGCTCTCCTACGGTAGGTTGTTGCTGATGTTATCCAGTCAAGGGACATTGCGTACCTTGCGAAGGCAATTGTTATTCTGACAGAAAGTATTTGGGATATTTTAGTATTACAATTATATATTTGTTGGTTCTCAGTTTATATGCACATTGACAGTTCAAAACAATTCTAAGTTTCAATTTGTACTTTTAATTTTTACTTCATTTAACGGCAAATTAACACCCAATATCAACTTTCAGTAACTCAAACTTGCACGCACAATCATTCATGCATTTATCTTCACATTATGAATTTTTCAAATGATCCGCACATAACTGACTCATGTTATCCTACTTATATGATTTGATAATCAAAGTAAAAAGTTATGTATTGTTAAACATTATATATTTGGTAGTTTTGATTTTGATTATCTTGAAAAAGTCTCGACAAGATTGCTGGACGAAACGTTAGGATTATTTAATTTTCAATCGCTGAGATTATTTCAAATATAATTTGACAAGTAATGTTAAATCTATATTTAAAGCAATTAGTCCCTTTAAATCTATATAGTTTTTATCACTTTCTTGATGCTCTATTGTTTACATTTTTTTGTTAACTTGATAATTTAAGGCTTTCTTTGACTTCTACGCGTTTCCAACGTGATGCACGCGCACTAGAGATGGAAGAAGAGCAATGGTTTGATCAGGATGAAGATGAGGAAGAGGAAGAAGATGGAGATAATTTATTCCCACAACACTCGCCAACATTGCTCAATAGAACGACAAATGCTTCTGCTAGTGCAAGTGAATCTGCTGTTGGAAGTGGTTTGTCAAATCTCCCTTCATATGGGCTACATTCTGTAATCACTACTTCGTCAGATTTATTGGGTATTGTTACGTCTTCAGATACGCAGTCTAGTTTGGTTTCTTTATCCTCCTCGGTCGCACCAAGCAATTCTAGTCTTGATTCATGTGCTAGTGTTCTGCCTCATCCACCCAGTTTTTCACCAAAATCTGTAATGGATAATTTAACTGACAATTTATGCATACCTTCACGTTCAGGATCTTTGTGCGATAGACTTCGTTTACGTCCTCACACTGTTCTTTTGAATGATGATAATGAATCTTCTGCAGCACGTCTTAATTTTGGTCGTCAAACTCCTATAGCAATTCATATTAAATCATTATGTAGAGAGAAGATTGAAACGATGAGTGATGGATTTGAAATAAGTGGTCGATTAAGTCCATCTTTATTAGCGTCAGATACCAATTTATCAAGTGCCAAAAATCCTAACCATATTAATGATAATGAATATAAAGAAAATGTAACTGGTTCAAATTCAAGTGATTCACAAAACTCATCGGTATCAAGTTCCATTATGTCTGATATTTCCCATAAAATAAAGCGAAATCATATCGATCCTCCTGTTGAAAATGAGGACTGCAATTTAGTCCAGGTAAAACGTTTGAAAAAATCTAGACAGTCAAGTAACAAGTCATCATCCCAAGATTTTCACCTACACAAAGAAACAGTTATCTTGGAAAACAGCTACTCTGATAAACTTCCTCATGAGACAAATAATACAAAATCATTTGAGGTGGGTTAATTGTTTTATTTTCTCATTAGTCAGGTGTTTAAGCGAGTAGTTGCTTATTTTAGATTCGCTTCATAATAATCAAGAAACTATTTATGTTAGTAAAATATTTTTAAATATTTATCAGTGCTTGAAATTGCATTTCAGTATCCACATATTTGTACATATTTAATCCTACTTTTAAATCGAAATATTGTAATATTGTCAAGCGAATGAGTATTAATGTAATGCACCAACATCACTCATTTTCACCCTAAATGTACATAAACTCTTGGTGTTATCGGATTAAATGTGGTGGACTGAGTAATTTTCAACAAACTAAATTGATGAGCCACAGATTTGTAATAAATTTTTCTCGTTACTCTGTTTATCGAAAGGGTTGATTAATAATCCTCTTACATACCTCATACTCAGTAGATGGGATTTACACTGACAAAGCGAAGCGAAGCTAAATTAAAACATAATACAAACGGTTATTGGGATCGATTTAGTATTACTTATTTCTAACACAAAATTCTTGCATTACAGACTTCAAGATATGTCCTACATAAAAAAAACGAAGAAACAATGAACATTATGTGATAAACTGCAAGAGTTAGAAGTATTAAAGTACTTTGGGCGCAACCAAAATATACTTTGTTCGACTCAAAGGAACATCTTAATTTCTACGAAGAATACATTTAAGAAATGATCATATGATCACTGCTTTATTATGTAGACCATTCATTTCGATTGACATGGTTTGTATAAAATCTGGAATTCTCCTTAGGTGTTTAAACCAACCAGATAGTTCTTTTACAGGATCAATGTCTGAACCTATGGTCTAGAGTTTTATTCTCTAGCAACATACTGACCTAAATCCACTTGGTATTGCTTGCTTGTATCTTCCTATTGTTGTTAAGGACTGCAATCAATCAGTCTCTTGTTGGCATATAGCCATCCTGTGCGGATTGCCTCGATATCGCCTTAACTCACAAGCTTCATGAGCGAAGGTGGGTGGTGGCTAGTAGTGGAATCCAGGACGCGCGTTTCGTCTTATTTGAGATTCGTCAGCTGGATGTAACTGCATCCTTGCTTATAAAGCTTGTGACCTAAGGCAATGCGCACATATACCAACAAGAGACTGATTACTTTCAGTCCTAATCATCAATGGGAAGATTCAAGTAAACAATACCAAGTGAATTTAAACTTTACCCCATTGCATAAGCGATGGCGTTTGAAGTGAATGGTACTGGGTTCAAGTCCCAGAGTGAACATCAACTCTGAAATGCAGGTACATACAGCTGATGAGTCCCAAATAGAACGAAACGCGCGTCCTGGATTCCACTGCTAGCCACCATCCATCTCAACGTACTAACTATTTTGAATGACGATAAATTAACCATAAAATACAAATCTTTCGTTTAACTATGAATATTACATTTACAATTGATTGATCACTAAATGGTGATCAATGTCATGTATGTCAGGTCCCTTTTTAGTGCAGATTGAATCCTATAGACAAAGTTGTAATGTGGTCACTATGCGTGCACTATGTTGAGATAAGATGGTAGTTGGAGGTAGTCGACAGGAAACCCTGGACCTTGGTTTAGTACTGTTTGGCACTCGTAAATAAGGTGTACCTGTAATCTTGAGGGAACGGATGCTTACTGGCTGATTCGATCACGTATCACCCAGCTTCGCAGTCAGAGACGTTACCACTTGGTCGATAGTATTCGATCTGCACTAAGAAGGACCTGACACACATGACATTGATCACCACCCTGTGATCAATTAATTGTAAATACATCTCAGTCCTACAGGAGGTCGGTCGTGGCCCAGTGATAACGTCAGTGAATGTGAAGCTGGGTGATACAGGATCGAATCAACCAAGGAGCATCCGTTACAGGTACACCTTATTTACGAGTGGCAAATAATACTAAACCTAGATCCAGGGTTTCCTGTCGACTACCTTCAACCACCATCTTATGTATATTATACTTTGTCTAACTCCGTTAGGCATCGGTGGTAATAAGAGTCAAATACAAATTAATTTAGAAGAATTGTAATTCACTTTCATTTACTCAGACAGATGTTAAAATTTGCAACATGAAAAACTTCTCAGCCTACTCAGTTTTACCAGGCGTGACTCAAAATTTATGCTCAGATGGGAAAAACAATACAAAGACACGTGACGAATAAAGTAAGTGATGAACAAAAATGCATACATACGTTCGTGCAAAAGCAGAGTTCCAAGTAAATATCTGACGCGGTCAAATATATGTGGACATAGTTATTCAAAAAGATTAAATTAATTGGTTTGTTCAAAAGTTAGGATAATTCATGTAGGTGTGAAGTAGTACTAAATGCTACAAACGCACAAGATAAAGATACATTTCCAAGGCCGAAGTACCTAGGTATTATTTGCTCTCTATGTATGATTACCTTGTTGCCCAAACCAAAGTAAGCGGAGCAGGGTTTGAACCTTGGTTGAAAGTTGGACGCCTTAACTAATGTGGCACCGCTCTATGGCGAACATAGGTATTCGCACAATTTATTTCGCCGAAATCCCAGAACCAATGCTTTGACTTTGAAGTTATGATTTTTAAAATTAAGCAAACTTTGTATCTACAGCCTCAGTTTAAGCTGCTTACGTCTCCTTTCAATCCCGTTGCGTGAAGGCAGTGAGTTAAACTTTGTATGAGGATATGCTCCACTCCATTGTACTTGAACATTTGTGGAATACACCGCCTTTTCAGTTTTTTTGATGTTTTAACTAGGGCTGATAATGTTTATCTAATTTTTATGAATACATGATGAATATATATATTTTATTAACACATCGAAACCTCATATTAAGTCTAAAGAGCATGTCTATTTTATTTTGAGTTGGTTGTGTCTGTTGTATATTTTTGATTGTTTGGTGCAATAAATGACATAATCCCGGTAACAAACATAAAAGAGTAACATCACATGTTCTATCAATAATTCATTTAACCCCTATGCTTGTAGGTTATAGAAGCTGATCCATTATCTCCGATCGGTTTGGTGGATTATTCAGATGAAGAAAGTGAGGAAGAAGAACAAATAAAAGACAAGAATGATCATAGTCAATTCGAAGCAAATCAAGCATCAAATAATGACGTTGATGGGTCTCATCATAACATATCGGATGTTTCATCCAGTCAAGTGGTGACAGATGTAGTCTAAAATTGTACAAAGTTGTTAAGCATCCATTCCTTACTTTTTACAAAACTGACGAGACGTCGAAATGAACCATTTCTGTGCCTTTGTCTTACAACCTAAGGGACTATTTTTTAACAAAAGTGATTTCACCAATTTTGTTAAAACTATCAACCATCCAGGTTGAGATGCTTAAGACATTGGCTATGCCAGTGGTTCTTCGTCATTTCTTTAATTTCCATCTTCAGTAAATGCGCCAAACTTCTAATTTTTCCTGTCTATTACCCAGAGCGCATTTTGTACATAAAAACATTGTATTGATTGACTGGGGGATCTAAAAATAATTTTATGTAGAGAAACGTTTGTATAACCAATAGGCATTTGCCTTTTGTAAATGCGCTTTGTTTAATAATATTCATTGTAGACATCTCAAATTGTTTCAGATTTTTTCAGACCGTCAATTGAAATGAGTATATCATAACACATGTTTTAATACTTAATTGATATATGTAACGTCAGTCTGTGTTGATATGATGAATGGTCTCTCGTTTGTTTTTCACATACGCCTTTCTGGTTCCGTTATTTGGTATACAATAAACAGTTGACTTACTCAAAAGTTTTATTTCCCGAGTGTTGAAACATTCTGATTGTAGATCTGTGAGGGAAATGACGTTACGGTAAAGCAATGTATTCGTTCCCTAAATTAACCAATCTAGTCTCCATCTATTTCGTCGTCACACTGCTCCTTAAACCACATTCATGAATTTTGATTTACTCACGTGTCCAAAATTTAGTTATCTTTTGATTACATTTAGAATTAATCTGATTACGCATGTGCAGAATGCCTACGATCTTAGACCAATTAAGTCCTGATGGTTACATACTTCTGATGTAGCGGTCAGACTTGTGTACTGGGATTACTGACGTTGACTACACTGGTGGTGTGTGCTATTTATACGGAGAGACCTAATTATTATACATCAGGTATGGAAAGTAGAATTCGTACTGACAAAAGAGGAAAATGAAAAGACAAAAGAAAACTGAAAACAATCGAGATGACAGGAATCGAAGAACGATGAAGTTTGTAAAAGCCAGTTAGCTACAACGTAGAACCAGGCACATATATGCATCGGTCCAAGTTGCCACAACAAAATGAACACCAAATTCGTAGTAGTCACTTCAATGGTAGTAATATACTTAAGAATGATTACATATAAAGATATAATACAGGAAGAAAAAATCAGTTCGTAGAAAAAAAGGTATAAAGCAAAGAGTATATACACCGACGCCATTGTGATAGATCCTGAGCCATGTCACCAAGAGTCTCCAACCATTGCTTACGATAGTCACGCGGACACCAACCAAGTAGTCTGCATCTGCCAATATGGCTCAGACCAGAAGTTAGTGACTTCAAGCACTGATGCCACGTTTTGGTTTGGTAAACGGTGTCCAGTCATACGTAACACGTAGCCCAACCATCTCAGTCGATGAAGATTCACAACCTGACCAACTGATTCACCATCATTCCCTAATACACTGCATCTAACCTTACTAATACTTACCCCGGTGATCCCAGCAGATGCGAGCAATATTTCTGAGACATCTGTGATCGAGTACTATTAGCTTACGAGTATCTTCTACTCTTAGAGGCCATGTTTCGCAGCCGTATAGTAGAACGGAACGAACTGTCGCGCAGTATACTCGTCCCTTAATTGATAGACGGATGTTTCGTCTTCGCCATAAGTGACGTAAGTTGGCAGACGCCAAAAGAGCTTTTCGAATCCGTGCTGAGATTTCGTTAGACAGCAACCCATTAGGGTTGATCAGACTTCCGAGATAAGTGAAGTTGTCAACGAGTTCGACTACTTCACTCCCTATTCTCAGTTCAGGTGTTGACGCAGACCAGTCCTGAAGCAACACCTTGCATTTAGAGGGGGGAGAAGCGCATCCCAAACATTTTGGCATTGTTGCTCAGTGCTATCAAACGACTCCGCATTTTATCAGCGTCTTCACCGAACAGGACTATGTCATCTGCGTATTCTAAGTCGATAAGTGGACCTCCTGGAAAGAGATCGATACCTGAAAATTCAGTCGACGAGAACGTTATTTCCAGCAGTGGGTCTATGATGAAATTAAACAGAAATAGATATAGTGGACAGACGTGACGGACACCACTCGGGGTTACGAAATCAGATGACAGTTCGTTGGTAGTGTTCAAGTAAACAGTCAGTCAGTCAGTCAGCTGCAACGTAGGACCAGGCACGTATATGCATCGGTCCAAGTTGCCATACCGCATTAGCACAACAAGATGAACACCGGATTCATAGGAGTAGTTAATTCAGTGGTGGTAATATATAGAAGAAAGATTGTGTATAAGGAGATAGT